CTCGAGAAATTACTGTAGCACCGCATGCAAAAGGTAATAACAAAAGAAAATAAAAATTAGTCTTTTGTTTATCTTGAATATATAAATAAAGTAAATATTTTCTAATAATTTGTACTCATTATTTTAGAAAGTCTTACAATGACAAAAACTCACAAGGAAATAGCCTTATTTATGGTGCAGTTATGTGAAAATCAAAACTATACAGAGGCACAAATTATTTCTGAGATAAGCGATAAAACGAAAGATCTTTTAAATCAACTAACGTCATTAGCGACAGTTCAAGCTCCAGATGGTAGAAAGATGATTTCTATTGAGATATTTAGAGAAAAAAATTTAGCACCGGCTGTGGAAAGTTTTCTTATTAATTTGGCCATTGCTGAAAATCTTTTTATGTTATGATAATGTATAAATCAAAATATGTAAACGTTTTAAGGTATAGTGAATAATAAGAATAAGATATAAGATGTATTACATGCATATTGATATCTGTTTTTTATGCTTTAATTTTGCATTAAAATGTAAACAATATTTCATCAATGTAATGAATTTATCACTACTGGATTCCAGTAACATTTTACTCATTCATTACTTGATGTCATATTCTGTCTTATTCTTACCAATATTATGTCTTAGCTTTCATTATTATATTGTTAATTGTGTTTTTAAAAAATATTTGTATACAAAAGTAAGATTTGAAAAATATTTATATATAAATTCAAGAATGAAAGATAAGTAAATCTCTTCATACTCAATATGAGAAACGTGTATATTATACACATACACATATGTATATTATTATATTTTTTTGTACACATTTATTATATGTTTCATTGTTTTGTATTATTTAATAATTATTTTGTTATTTTAAATTTTTGTCAACAAATATATGTAAAAAATTTAAATATTAAAATAAATTAATAAAATTGAAAGAGGTTTGCAATTTTATATTTGTCGCATTGTGTGATCATATAATATTTAAAACGAGATCTATTTCTTAATTATCTTATTGCATATATTCTCAACGAGATACTTTTACACAATAATAATCACAAAAAAATATGGAACAATTCTCTCACGACTTAGTGATTTGCTGTAGCAGATTTTGTGATTGATTATGATTCGATATCTAGAATTCTCATCAAGGCAATTATAGCCTTATTAATTTCTTAATTGTCGTCAAAACAATGTCTCAAGCAATTCTCAAAGTATTGAAACAGCGAGAATTAATCACAAAAATTCAACGTAGAAATCAAATTTCATGGTTGAATAATCCAATAAGCAGACAATATTTTTTAAATGTATTTTTAATATTTATTGTTCATTAATTGTACATTGTACAATTGATTGCAAAAATAATATTTATTTAATGTTTATTAATTATTTATTTTACATAAAATATTCGTTTGAAATAGCAAATATTAGCATAAACATTTTTTTAATGATTAAAAATGAATTAATCCTTAATATTTACTACTTAATAATTATTTTAATGTTTATAAAAATGATTTCCAAAAATTTTTAAGAATATTTTCAAAAATATTGTCTGCTCATTGGGAAAGGGTCGAATCAATTATTACATAAAATAAAATTCATGCGTTTAATTATACCAAAAATGATGATATGTATGCACGTACTTGATAATGATTATTGCAATTGCGATGCATTTCGGCGATGAAAATTCACGAAAATGGCTCCGATTGATTCCGGAAACGTAGAAGTTGAAAATGACGATGTCTTATGTACAAATAAAGCGATCGTACGCGTCACGACAAACGTTCGATATTTCACAAAGCACTCGCGATAACTTTTTTACCAAAAGATTCACTTTTAGACAACAATTAATCAACAATTAACAGAAATATACGGAGCGGTTTGAACGTACGTTTGTGGCGCGATGCGACTCTGCAACCGATTTGAATGCTATCGAAAGCAAATTGCGATTCTCGAAGTATCGAACTCGCCGAACGTCATCACGTGGGCGGGTCACGTGTCATTCCCTAGCGTGCAGAGTCAGAGAGAAGCCTTCTCTTTGGCAGAGCCATCAGTCGCTAATGGTTACCAGCACTGATCTTTAGCTCGCTAACTTCTATTCACTGGTCGCGAATCGTATGTAATAATAAATGTAACCTGTAAACAATCGCTGTGCAACGTGCTGTTACATAATTTTTTAACCGCGAAAACCTCTCGTCGGACACGAATTCATCTCGAACGCCGGAGTACGAGACTGCGTTTTGACTAACGCATTACGGGAAGCCATCTTTCCTCGGTGGCCGCCTCTCTTATCCGGTACACTGGTCACTGTAGTTACACGCGGTCGAAGGAGGTACGGGCTGTCGCGCGATCTCAGAATTTCTAAGCTTTCGACGAGCCGCCGCTACCTTCCGAGAACAGTGTTTATGGTACAACTGTGATCGCGGCTACGTCAAGAAGCCATGGCACGATACGGGCAGCGGCCCGAAAACGCCCTGAAACGGGCGAACGGTAAGTCACGATTCCGCCTCATGTCTCGCACAACGTGACATGGCCGATAGGATTAAACTCTATTGTCGCACTAGAGGAAAAAGAAAAAAAAGAGAACCCACCTCCTCGAAGCGTTCGCGCGGAAAACGCGAAACTCGACGAAATTCGGATCCGGGAGCTCTGGCTCGTGGATATAATTTTGTTAAACGTCAACTATCGATGTGCTTGTCACCCAGTTCCAAAGGATTGTCTATCGTGTCCTTTTCCTTTGAGGATACTTTTTTCGCAACCATATGCATACACATATCATCCTTACGAGGCTTATAATCCTCGGAATTTTATCGTAGGATTATATAGTTTTTTTTTTTTTTAAATTCAGGAACAGTAAAAAACGCGCTTTAAGCAGTTTTGAATTTTTGTATTTAATAAAGATATTGAAATATTAAATTTTGGAAATATGTGTTTTTTGCTATTATCATATTTTACTATATTAATTTTTTATTTATTATACATGTAGGGGATAAAAAGTAGTTTTATATTTAATAATCTTTTTTCAAGATGTCTCATCATATTTTGTTATATAAGTATAGTGAATAGTTGATACTTGAAGTAAATACTTATGACACTTAATCCTTTCAGCTTTTTTTCTTTTCCCTTTGTTCTTTCTATATTTGAATATATACTTTTATTTCATTTTCAAAAGATATAGTACTTATGAAATTAGCTGAAAAGAATAGATTTTTATCACTTAAAGTGTTTTTAATTATGTCAGTGTAATACATTTTTTTAGCGTATTCGGTTCTGATGCATTTTTTAAATTATTGTTGTCACATGTTGTAAATTTCTATAATTAAGAAAGTTATTTTAAATTGAATACGATTGTTGCTACACAAACATTGACATTTTTCTTCTTTTTTTTTTAAACAGAGTTTATTGAAGTGGGCAAATCAGCTCGAGCGTTAGACACATTGCAAGAAGTCTTCCGTAATAAAAAATGGACATACAATTGGTCAGAATCTGTATTGGAGCCCATAATGTTCAAGTATCTGGATCTTTGTGTAGAATTGAAAAAATCACACATAGCAAAGGAAGGTCTATTCCAATACAGAAATATGTTCCAATCTGTCAATGTTGGGAGTTTAGAGAATGTAATACGTGGCTATTTGAGAATGGCTGAAGAGAAGACAAATGCGGCACGTAAACAGAGTCAGCAAGCTGTAATCGATATTGACGATCTTGATAATCTTGCTACACCCGAAAGCATCTTACTTTCGGCTGTTAGTGGAGAGGATGCGCAGGACAGAAGCGATCGTACTATTTTGACGCCCTGGGTGAAGTTTTTATGGGAATCGTACTGCCAATGCTTGGAGTTGCTCAGAACTAATGCACATGTAGAAACTCTTTATCATGATATTGCACGTATGGCCTTCCAGTTTTGCCTCGAGTATAATCGTAAGACTGAATTTCGAAAATTATGCGAAAAATTACGAAAGCATCTTGAGGAGATATGTAAGCTGCCACCACTTGTCTCAAATGTTTCTATGAATAAAGCAGAGACACAACAGTTAAATCTAGAGACTAGATTAAACCAATTAGACTCTGCGATACAAATGGAATTGTGGCAGGAAGCCTTTAAATCTTCGGAGGATGTACATGGTATGATGAATCTATCGAAGAAACTCCCTGTACCAAAAACGATGGCAAATTACTACCAGAAGCTCGCTATGGTCTTTTGGAAGGCCGGCAATTATCTATTTCACGCGGCTGCGTTATTTAAACTTCTGCAACTTTCTCGTGAAATGAAGAAAAACATGTCTTCGGAGGAACAGCAGCGAATGGCCAATCGTGTATTATTGGCAACGTTATCGATACCGTTGCCATCTGCTCATCCGGAATTTGATCGCTTCATAGAGACAGATAAAAGCCCATTAGAAAAGGCTCAGAAACTCGCGACTCTTTTGGGTCTCTCGCAACCGCCAACACGCGTTTCTTTGTTGAAAGATATCGTTCGTTTAAACGTTGTCAGTCTCGCGTCACCGCAGTTACAGGAATTATATTCGTGGTTAGAGGTGGAGTTTCATCCATTAGAGCTTTGTAGCAGAGTCGATTCCGTTATTCAGACATTACAAGCGGACGAAAACAGCCCATTGATTCAGTATATTCCAGCTTTGCAAGATGTGACCCTTGTGCGTCTCGTTCATCAGATCTCCCAAGTCTATCAAACTATACAATTTTCCAGACTTTTAGAACTTGCTAAATTCACGGTGGATTTTCATCTCGAGCGTCTTTTAGTGGACTGCGTGCGCTACAACGATATGCAAATCAGAATAGACCACGGTAAGTCATGTGTTCACTTTGGAGTGGATCTCTCAGAGGCACAACGAGAGGATCATCCAGACGGTCCAGTGCTACAGGCGATGCCCTCCGAACAAATACGCTGCCAGTTGGTGAACATGGCAACCGTGTTGCACCGTTCCATTAATGTAATAAATCCCAATAAAAAGAAAGTCGAGCGTGAAAAATTACGTAACGCGATGGTTGCTCATTATCACGAGACCAAGATGAAGGAACACCAGAGAATATTGGGCAGGCATAAGATCATCGAGGAACGAAAGGAGTACATCGAGCACATCAATACGGTCCGCGAAGAAGAGGAGATGCGTCGACAGGAAGAACTCCAGCGGCAACAAATGCTAGCTGAACAGAAACGGTTGGAGCAGGAGCGCGAAGAACGTGAACGGAAACGTCAGCAGAGTGAGATTCAGCAGATCAAGGATCGTCATCTCAAAGAAAAGATGCAGCAGATCTCGCAAACAAGTCACGGGCAGAAAGTGCTTAAGAAACTGGACGAAGACGAGATCAAGAAGCTGGACGCGGAGCAGATCGCGGCGCGGGAAGCTGAAGAACTGCAGAAAGAGCGCAGGGAGATGCAGCAGAAGCTCAAGTCCCAGGAGAAGAAAGTCGATTATCTGGAACGTGCCAAGCGACTCGAGGAAATCCCGTTGC